CCACATTATTAACAAATGAAATAAAGCCATCTGGAGTGCAAATAAATAAGAACCTACTTTCAAATACCCTGGAAACTACCAACGAATGAATCTGAAAAGTAAAACCTAAAGCAATATAACTAATTTCTAACTTTCATAATTTGTGTTTTTTAAGAATCAAACTCACAAATGGATTTTTAATAATACTTTTATGCATGTAAATATGATCATCTAAGCAAATATTGATTTAATTTACTAAAGCCTCGTCAAATTTTGAACCTTCTTCATATTTTTCTGATTAAATATTCTTCCTGACTGTAAATATAATGCATATTGGTAGTAGCAAACAAAATTTATATTTTGAATTTCATTATTCTTACCTCTGTTATTGTAAAATCATAAAAGATAAATGATGAGAATATGTAAGAAATATGAATTACAGCAAATGTCTAACCTAAAAATGCACGTTTTACATCAAAACAAATATTAGTTGACAGCAAATTCAACTCATAAATGTGTCATCCGCCATATTTGTTGGGCTCCAAGTTGCACTTAAAATCCGCTAGAGGAGAGCTTGGCTATGTGCGAAGGCATGGAAGGGGAAGTCAAATCGACCGAAGCGTTCGTAGTGGCTAACTTGAAGCACTAGAAGGGGCTATTATAAACAAAATTTTAAACAAAAACACATAAAATATTTATTTATTTCAAATTTAAATAAGATAATTAAAAATGACCCACCATATCTGTTGTGTAGTGGATTGTAGAAATACCAGCAGAAAAAGTGACTGCAAATTCTATACATTTTGTACAGCTAAGTGGAAAGAAAATCAACGGGAAAAGTGGATCGCAGCGGTTAGAAGAATAAAGTAAGTATCATAACCTTATTGTTATAAAAATACAATTTGGAGTATTATGAATAGTTGTAAAATTGTTATGTTTAGCAAAAAGAAAAATTATAAGTCAATAAATTGTTGTATTATCAAAATTTAATGCTTACTAAAAAAAAATGTTTTATAAAAGAATGTAATTAATACAAGCCTGAAATAATGAAAAATACATATTTATATATTGTATATTGATTATGTATAACTATTATTTATATATTAATTACATTTTATTATATAATAATTGTAATTTTATGATTAAAAGAAAAATAAAAGTTATCACATAGCGAAAAAATGTTTATTTTGCAAACAGTTTAATTAATACAATGCTGAAATAATGCGAAATATATATTTGTAGTGTTGATGGATCACCGTGGGTTCCCAAGCATTTGCAGTGAATCGGTCGAGGTATTGAGTCCTACCTACTTGTCAACAATATTTTCTTCAATAAGTTAATTTCGAAAAGTTAATGTAGTTTTTTTCCTGCAATTTTATTTGACCGGTCTTGTCTTTATAATAATGTCTAAATTATGTCTTTATAATAATGTCTAAGTCTTTAGTTTGATTAAAAAATTGAATAAATTAATTTACTATTTACTTATTCTATTGATAAAATATTATTTATCATTATTATCATATTATTATATTGTTTTTATTAAGAACTATTCCGAGTTTATGACATAAGCTTTGAGGCACTTAACCTTAAAATTATTTACTGCATTTCTTTATTTAATTAATGATTATACTTAACTATGTTTTAAGCATAGGTTTTAAGTACGTTGAAGTAAATTTAATAATTTCAATAAACATTCAGCGTTCACATTATTACTGTATCTTGTTTATTATTATTTATAACAATTATTTAATATCTTTTTTCTTTAACAAACATGTAAAACCCATGAAAAACAGACACTGATAGCCCCAATCAGTTCATATTTATTACGGCGCTGCATGGGCGCTGCAGTCACGCTCGGAGCGAATTCGCTCAGAGCGTGACTGCAGCGCCCATGCAGCGCCGTAATAAATATGAACTAATGACGGCTATCAGTGTGTGGTTTTCATGGGTTTTATATGTTTGTTAAAGAAAAAAGATATTAAATAATTGTTATAAATGATAATAAACACGACAGAGTAATAATGTGAACGCCGAATGTTTATTGAAATTATTCAACGTTCTTAAAACATAATTAAGTATAATGATTAATTAAATAAAGAAATGCAGTAAACATTTTTAAGGTTAAGTGCCTCAAAGCTTATGTCATAATCTCGGAATAGTTCTTATTAAAAACAATATATAGTGATGATTAAAATATTTTATCAATAGAATAAGTAAATAATAAATTAATTTACTCATTTTTTATTATTTTTGGTCAAACTAAAGACTTACAATAGACATTATTATAAAGACATGATTTGATTCCATCAACCGTCAGATAAAATTGCAGGAAAAAAAACTACTTTAACTTTTCGAGGCTTGTAAATTGAAGGAAATATTGTTGGCAAGTAGATATAGGACTCAATACCTCGTCCGATTTTTTTCCTCTAATGAAATGTTCGCAAATGCGATCATAGGTCTTGGGAACCCACGGCGGTGATCCATCAACACTACAAATATATATTTTGCATTATTTCAGCATTGTATTAAATAAACTGTTTGCAAAATAAACATTTTAGCGCTATGTGATAACTTTCATTTTTCTTTTAATCATAAAATTACAATTATTATATAATGAAATGTAATTAATATATAGATAATAGTTATACATAATCAATATACAATATATAAATATTTATTTTTCATTATTTCAGTCTTGTATTAATTGCATTGTTTGCAAAACAATTTTTTCTAGTAAGCTTTAAACAACAATAATATAACAATTTATTGACTTATAATTTTTCTTTTTGCTAAACATAACAATTTTACAACTATTCATAATACTCCTAATTGTATTTTATAACAATAAGGTTATGATACTTACTTTAATCTTCTAACCGCAGCGATCCACTTTTTCCGTTGATTTTTTTCCACTTAGCTGTAGAAAATGTATAGAATTTGCAGTCACTTTTCCTGCTAGTATTTCTACAACCCACTATACAACAGCTTTGGTGGCTCATTTTTAATTATCCTATTTAAATTTGAAATAAACAAATATTTTATGTGTTTTCATTTAAAATTTCTGTTATAATAGCTAACTTTAATGCTCAAAGTAGCCACTACGAACGCTTCGGTCGATTTGACTTCCCCTTCCATGCCTTCGCACATAGCCTATAGTACGAAAAAAATCAAATTTTTTTTCCAATATTTTCTTTCCAAGAAATTTTTTTTTGTATATCGAAAATAATTCAGATTTTAATTTTAATTCTGGCTAAAGTTTTAAAGATCACTTATATAGTCTAAATAAATAATTTTGAGTTTGTAATTCAGTTTATAAAACTTTTATAAATATTAGACAAATTTTCAGAGTATTTATAATAATCTATTTGAAAACATTTAATATTCCGCGAACATTTTGTTACGGTACGGGAAGTTCCAGCAATTAATTATATTTGTATAAGTAACTTTAAATTTTATTCGCATTATTTAAAGATATTATTAATACCGGTATTTTACCATTTTGGTTTTAAAAGCCAAAAATATTGAAACACCGGAATTAACTTCCCGTAAGGAAAGTTATTGTAATCGTCCAAAATCGAAATTGAAAATTTTTGCATTTCTCGACGTTTTGAAATTTCTGAACATTTTGGCATACTTCAGAAAAATGGATGTGTGTGTGTGTGTATGTATGTATGGATACAATTTTTCGCACACGTTTTCGGGCGTGCCGAAAATTTGAATGGTTCAAAAAACATTCGATTCCTATTGATAGGGAGATGTGCTGATTAGTTTTTGGCAAAGGCAGGTCCAGCAGTTACGGAGATAGAGAGTAAAGAGTGCAGAAAATAGAAATCGAGTGTTTGAGAGAACGGAGCATCCGATTTGAATGATCTAAGAAACATTCAATTAATAATGATTGGGAGAAGTGGTTATTAGTTTTTGGCAAAGGCAGACCTAGCCATTTTGAAGATACAGAGCTAAATGTGCAGAAAATTGCATCGTTTTTGAGAGAACTAAGTCCGATTTAAATGATTCAAAAAACTTTTTGCTTGTTTTAATAAATAATTGATTTTGGAAAAAAAAATTTTGTTTCAAAAATTTTTTTTTTGTATATCGAAAATAATTCAGATCTTATTTTTACTTTTAGCTAAAGTTCTAATATACTTTAAACAAATAATTTCAACTTTGCAATTCATTTTATATAATTCTTATAAATATTAGACAATGTTACAATATTAATAATAATAATCTATTTGAAAACATTCAATATTCCTCGAACATTTTGTTACGGTACGGGAAGTTCCAGCAATTTGCCTTAAGGCACGATGCCATACACCTCACTAGTTGAAATTTTTTATCGGTATTAATGCAGTTACTATTGATAGTAAAATTACCATTACCTATCATAAATATTAGGGAATGATATACATATATTATGTTGCATGACAGCAAGTATGCTCATATAAAACAAAACATTATGAATGAAGAAATTGCGAAATACAAATCTTCAAAGGTGGGTTAAACAAGCTTTTCTCAGATAAATAATTTGCAACTTTTGTTTTCAAATTCACGAAAATTAACTTATAAAAATTATGAAAACAAACAAACCAGTGCTATTTTTTTTTCAAGTGAATGTCGACGAAAATTGAACAGAATTTACAGATCTTGTACAATAGCCGCTTACAAGTAAATGCAAAAATTCAATTTAGGCCTATAATTTTTGAAAACTTGGGACAATCCGAGACAAGCGATCCAAATCCGGGAACAAGGTAGAAATCCAAGACTGTTCAGGCCAATCCGAAACGTATACTCACCTTATATAAAGTAAATAAAATTACTAATATTTTATCGCCTGTAGATCCCAAAATCTCCCCAGTAATTTGAAATCCACATAGATTCCACATGGATGTCACAGCACTGAAGGCATGATAGATAATCGTCTTAGAACTAGATCACAAAAGATTTAATTAGGTGAAGGTGATATTATTTTTATGTAAAGATAAACTGATTCAATGTATATTTGTTTTGATTTATTAAAACCCTCATAATACAATGTTATATTATATTGAATTTACAATCTTATCACAGCTATTTGACCAAAAATTCAGAGCTAATAGAAAGTGTTCATATTCCTAGGCACATTAAAATGGGTTTTGTATTAAAATTAATACACCTGCACAATACTTGTACAGCTGCCAATTATAGTAATTAGCTACTAAAGCTTTCCAGTTAACTCTGGAACTGCTTTAAATAAATCAGCTACTAAACCAAAGTCTGAAACTTGAAATATGGGTGCCTCTGGATCTTTATTGATTGCAACAATAGTTTTAGAATCTTTCATTCCAGCTAAGTGTTGAATTGCTCCAGATATTCCAACAGCAATATAGAGTTCCTAGAAATAAATTACATTTTAATATGTTACATATAAGATCAGGCACAGCATTCAAATCGATTTTAGAATCAGCTTATATTTTAAACTTCAACTTAAACAAAAATAAAAATTTGTATATATTTTCATGTTGAGCAATTTTGAGAGCACGCATCAATCGATTTATATTATAATTCAAAAAAACATTTGATTCCTATTGATAAGGAGACGTGCTGATTCGTTTTTGTCAAAAGCAAGTCCAGCCGGTTCAAAGATACGAGACGAAGAATGCTGAAAATGGTAATTCATTATCAGAGAGAAAGGAACGCCCGATTTGAATATTTAACAAAAAATACACTGCACTTGTACAATTGAATAAACTAGATTCATGTTCAATTTAAGTGGATTTTTGAAGAATGTTTTCACAAATGAAATCCACCGTCTCTCATACATTCAATATGACCCTAGTTTATTCAATTAATTGCAAAAATTGTGATTGAAAAATTGAACAAAACATTGGTCAAACATCACAACACATCCGATGATTTGAGTGTTTGTACATCATACCAAATTTATTCCTAATTTATATTTTTCGCCCTTGTACTTATTTGTCGTTATTGCATAATCCAAGCTTATTGAAAACTGTATAACAGAATTAGAAGCATTTATTGGTAGCGTAGAGAAGGACACAAAGTTTTAATTTATCTTTTTAACTTTCCGAAGGAGAAGTTTATGTTTTCATCAAAAAATCCGATTCGCTAATTTTATGTTTTCTCGACGTTTCGAACCATTCTGAATCGAATGAGACCAAATTTAAAAAAGTATGTGTGTGTGTGTGAACAGATTTTTTGCCGTAAATCGACGTTTTCTCCAAAACGGATGGACCGATTTCAAAAATTTAAAAGCCATTCGATGTATCTCGATGAGGACTATCGTTTCTGAGTTTTGTGCGGCAATCGGCCGGGCCGTTTCTTTGTAAATTGCAGAAAAGTGAAAAAATTTTCGTCCACGTTTTAGCCCGCAATTCTGAATCGATTTCGAAATTCAAAAACCATTCGATAGATATTAGTTGGGAATCGTGCTGATTAGTTTTTGGTAGAGATCGGCCGGGCCGTTTTCTTGTAATAAAGTTTAAAAAAAAAAAATTCGACGATTTTTATGATTATTTTTTTGACGGTAGATACCATAGTCTTCTAGATCATACTAAAATATTACGGCCCTACGACAAGTCGTTTAATTTTAAAAATTTATCAAAGTTTGCAAAAATTGGTATCGTTTTTTTTAGCATTTGTCAAAATTAGATCTTTGATCGACGTTTTCTCAAAAACACCTGAACTGATTTCAGAAATTGTCGAAATTTTTTTTTCAACACTTGATTACGAGAAAACGGCCCGGCCGATCTTTCCCAAAAACTAATCAGCACGATTCCCAACCAATGTCTTTCGAACGGTTTTTGAATTTTCAAAATCGATTCAGAACTGCGGGCTAAAACGTGGACGAAAAATTTTTCACTTTTCTGCTATTTACAAAGAAACGACCAGGCCGATCGTCGCACAAGACTGTGAAACGCTAGTCTTCATAGAGATACATCGAATGGCTTTTAAATTTTTGAAATCGGTCGAGCCGTTTTGAAGAAAACGTCGATAAACGTCAAAAAATTTGTTCGCACGCACACACACACACACACATACTTTTTCTAAATTTGGTCTCATTCGATTCAGAATGGCTTGAAACGTCGAGAAAACATAAAATTCGCAAGTCGGATTTTTTTATGGAAACATAAACTTCTCCTTCGGGAAGTTAATTATAAATTTGTCAGAAATACTATTTGTAATGTTAAGGTAACATTTCCATACAATAATTGGTAATTAAACATTTCAAGTATCTCCGCACTTGCATCATCTTAATTGTGCCATTTTTTTATGTATTCAATATCAAATCATGCTGTGCGCATTGAATACGTTAAAAATGTCAAAAAAAATGTTAAGGTTTTTGCTCAAAACGCATAATCTGAATACAAATAATATAGTCTATCTTTAACGTAATTTAAACTATAAATACGCACACAAAGATGACAAATTATTACAAACTAGGTTTGTCGGTTTTCAAAAATCGGTTTCAAAAACCGTTTTTTGCCAAAATTATGGAATTCGAAAACCGGTTTTTAGTGAAAAAGTCGGTTTTCACTGTATAAATAGAAAATGACAAATATAGCCAAATATAAAAGATAGATGAAAATGTTTTGATTCTTGAAATCATATCGTTTCAATAGCATTTTATATCTTATCAGTCTGCAATGGTTCCCAGAAATGTTTTGTATATATTAATTTAGAGTTTTATAGCAGTGTATATATTAATTTAAATCAGTGTGACTTCTTCTTGAAGAAGTAACTTCCACTACACAAACTTAAAAAAAAAGAGTTTTAAACCGTAGAAACCACAAATTAAAGAACAAAAAACTTATAATTATTATATCAGGCTTTAAAAATGATTAAGCATAATTTGGTCGCTAGTATGAGAGTATTTTCTATTTCAGGAAATTTTATGAGTGAACAAAAGACACATCTAACAATAAGTAGCAATTCGGTAGACGTTCTCAGTTTTTTCATATTTCATTAAACAAAAAACAATTAGAATGTTTAAAATTAATTAATTAAATTTCTCGGAACAAACAATATCCGAGTTTAGCTTAATTATTTTTAAAACTAAAATAGATATTAACAAGTATGTATTAACATGTATCTAATTTTTTTACTTTTATTTTTTAATTTAATGATTTTTTTTATTTAGAAATGAATTATTTTTATTTGTTCGAAAACTTTCCTTTCACTATCATAACAATATTTTCATTCTTATATGTGAAAAGAGGCATGAATAACGAATAATTATTTTCAAAGTTATTTAATCAAGATAAACTATTATTTTTTACTTCTACTAATTGAAATTAAATAATTTTGTTTACTATCTACAAAATTGAATAATAAATAAATACAGTCAAATTCTTCTCGAAATTACACTAAATTTGCGGATAAATTACAGAATATTCGAGCAAAAATATTTTCTATATAAAATTAAACGAAAAAACCGTTAAAAATTTTTTTTAGTTTAAAATTAAAAATTAAAAAACCGTTTTCTGAAAGATCGGTTTTTGTATAAACCCTATTACAAACACATAGGATTATATATTAGTAAATTAATGTTTTCAAATTAAGGTTAATATACTTTTATCAGAATTAAAAGAAGCATGCTACTTACAGGTGCAACAATCTTCCCTGTCTGACCGATTTGCATATCATTTGGGCAAAATCCAGCATCTACCGCGGCTCTAGAAGCGCCTACTGCAGCTCCTATCTTATCCGCTAAGTCAAATAATAATTTGAAATTATCACCAGACTTTAAACCACGTCCTAGAAAATTAATTTCATTATTTTAGACTCTTGCTTGGTTTAAGAACAGTCTAATAAACTAGTCTAATGGATTATTGATGAAAATTTGCATAGTAACATAGTTTATTGTCAAAATAAACCCCTTAAAACATTATAGACCTATGAGATATGATTAAAACTATCGATTATATAGATATTTTTTTTCATAAAGGTTGAATACACATTTGGTATATGCCGTTAAATACAAAACGGAAGTAATAATTTTAGCAGTAATAGTAGTAGCTTCTAGAAAAAACCTTTGTTAAAAACTAATCAGCACGTTTCCTTATCAATACGAATCGAATGTTTTTTGAATTATTCAAATCGCTTCATCCGTGTTCCCGAAATCGTCGACGAAAATTTGTATCCGAACACACGCACACACACACACACATACATCCATTTTTTCTAAGGTATGCCAATATTTTCAGAAACCTTTGAAAACTGAAGATATATAAAACTTTTCATTTTCTTTTTTTGCGATTACTATTACTTGCCCTACGGGAAGTTAATAACAAATTATTTTGTTATTATTGAATTAAAACACACAATAAGACCGTATGTAATAATCAGGGCGTAGCGTGCTTTGGCGGGGCTCCGTATCAAAAGTTGTTTGGCGGCCCCCTCAAGAAGAAATTTTTTTTTTCACAAAATATAAAAATAATATTAAAGAATATTTATTTATCATTCTAATTATTTATCTATCTAATTTTCTCTAACTCTAACTTTCTGAATTTTTCACAAATGATTCCAGATATATTTTTCACTCTCCTTACCTTTTTTTAAAAACTGACTCATTTAGTGATCTTGAAATTTTATAAATTTTCTCTCTCTAGGAACATACAGGTCTTGTAGACATTTATGTCCTAGAGTATTTACGTAATTTTTAATTAGTTTTAATTTTAAAATGTTTTTTAGCAGTTGCGATTGTAACTGGAGGGTCAAGAATAAAATGCATACTGCTATTTCGTTGGGAAAACTGGATGCAACCCCATTGCATCCATCATTGTACCTTAATGAAATAAATTTCTTAGATTTCTGTATTCAAACCTATTTCTAGAACTATCAATTGGTCATGATCATATGAGATATTATACAATATTTCTTTACAGTAGTTCAGTCGACAGTTTTCCGGAAACGTTTATTAATTCTCGATTTCAAAAAGACAAATGTCGCAAAGTGTTTGTGTTCGCAAATGACTTACGTCGCAAAGGTTTTGAAATCTTGTTTGGTTTGTGAAATTAATATATCCAAACAGTAATAGTATACACCTAAATAAGATTGCGGGTCTAAAATTCTCTCATCTTGTAATAACTCAATCAAAATAATGCTTCATTATCTTTTGTCTTTTGTTCTTTAAGGGGGTCTTCCTATGTGATGGGTTGAAAAAATCGATTTTTTTTTCATAAATTGCTCCCTTAACATGTCTAAATTACGGTAGTAAAGCGATTTTAGAAAATTCGAAGTCGTTTTAAAGATACAGCAGGTAAAAGAGTTGATATTTTGATAGTTTTTAACGGACTTGAAACTTTAAACGCGTTTTTCTTTAAGCTGTGTTTTTTCAAACTTTCCTCAATTGTATCTCAGAAACGGCTCGACTGAATTACTTGAAATTTACAGGGCACACTCAATATATTTAAACGCATGGAATGAACTATTATCAATCAAGAAAATTTTCAAAACTTCGATTTTTTTATAGCAAAAAACAAAAAAAACGCCTAATTTGCAACTTTTATTTCAAATGTCTATCAAAAATCCAATTTTTTTTTTATTCATTTGATTATAGGTCATTCCGTGCTTTTAAGCCTACAAATTAAAACGCCGTTTATTTTTTTTTTCAGTTAAGCCGATCAGCCGGAATCGTGGAGGAAGTGGGAGCTCTTTTTTTCGAGGCGGGGTGTTCAGAGCGCTGTAAACTCTAGTATGACTGAATATTTTTAGCTGAAATTTTATATTTATACTGTCCAAATATGTGTTAATAATGATAAAAACTTGAAGCTCTAAATATTTACTGGTCGTAGAAAAAAAATCCTAAAATATCCCTAAAAAACAGCCGTCACATAGGAAGACTCCCTTAAAATAGTTATTGCAATCCATCTTTTTGCAATATTTTTTACTTCTTTAACAAACTATTTCAGCATGCAA